TGAGCTGTTATGAACTTTTCACTTTGATTTATTAAATTTATGTGTTCCTGATACTGTTACCTTTCCATTTAAAATTCAAGAATCAATGCTATTCAGAACAACTTTTCATTCCCTATAAAAACTAGTCATGTCTGACACTAAGCAGCTCATTTTTATGCTGTAATTTGGAGTTTCACATGTCTAAACTGTTCTCTTCCTGCAATTGTAACAAATTATATTTTGAGAGACCAACATTTATCTCTAGTACTAATAACTGGCTTAGGAGTAATGCCTTACATTCTTTTCCTGAGTATATTTTTCTTCTAAACATTTTTAAACTATTCAAGAAATAAAGTATAAAATAATGTTAATGCTCATGTCCCTTATATAACATATTGTCATTTTTCATGATCTTATGAGTACTCTTTAAAAACTCTTACCACTCTTCCAAGGTCCAGCCCTTCCCCAGAACCACACCAGAGAAATATAAATGATCGGGGTGCTGCGATCTCATCAATTTCTAACTTCATGATCTGTGAGAAAATAAAACAATGTCACATAAAACTGTTTCCCACCTATCCTCTAGCCAGAAGACCCACTGAGATTTATGTGAATTGGTCTTTGTGTGTACTTATAATGGAAGACAAATTTTATCCTTAAAAATCACTTGCTATAGTGCTGTTTTACTTTATATAATATATGCATACATATAAACATACAGAGAAGCACTTGTTTCTTAGAAGAAAAGAGCTTACAGGGAACTACATTTACAGAGTAGTGGGATTTTGAAAGACATTCTATTAATACATGTTGTTATTTACAGAAAAAGAAACTGAAATGGAAAGAGAGGTAAATGAGCCCAAAATTAATGGCAAAATTAAAATACAGTATAAGCCAGGCACAGAAGTATACACATACAATCCCCACTATGTACCTGGGAGACTAAGCTGGGAGCATCACTTAAGCCTGGTCATCTACAGGATTTGTCTCTTGCAGATAAGAAATGGCAAGAGTCTTCTAAATGTCTGCTTTTCCCAGACTTCCTTCCAGCCTCACACACCAACTTGACATTCTTACTAAAAACTATTTAAAACCTTGAAAGGTTTCATGTTTTTAGAATGAAAAAATCCAAACTCCTAAAACATCATCTCAAGACAATCCAGTCAGCATTCTATCAGCAGCAACCGACTACGAGGTGTACACCCACAAGTCAGATAATGCTTCCATCATTCCTCTGCCTGAACCCCTGGCCCACATCTTCCTTTCTGCTGGACAACTCCAGCTGATGTAGCTATACTGTTCAGGGGTCACCATCTCGATGCACTTAAGGACCATCTTCCTAGGCTTCGTCTGCTGTTCTCATACCATTGTATGCAGTCCTTCACTACTGGCTCAATAAAGACACTAGGTTAGGTCATTTACCCCATTAAACTGTGTGCTATTAAGTGTAAGCACTAACTCTTGCTCATTACTGAATCTCTAATACATCATCTAACAGAATGGTGTTCAATCAATATGTGTTCTTTTTGCTACTTGTTATAAAAAATACTTTCTGTAACTAATTGAACTTACCATCTTTTTAATTTAGGAAAATATAACTTTATCACAAAAACTATAATGAAATTATATGCTATTTATTTTGCTCATACTATATCATACTGCAAGTCCCCTAATGAGTAGGAATTGCGGTACATTCGTATTCATTCTCATTCTCTCTCTTCTCTCCTTTTTCCCTTCTTGATATTTACTAAAATTGATCAGCAGTGAATTATCATTCTGTTTCCTTGTAGATTTTTCTAGCTTATAGCCAAGGACTCCAAGACACTGCCTCAAAAGAATAATTAAATGAACAGACTCTTGATCAACATGCCTTGGACCTTCACCTACTACACACACTGCAAGCCTACAGTTATCCCCACAAAAGTAAAAGTGCCATTTATAGTCTCAGTTTTTAATTAAATGAACACATTTAATTAATAGCTCATCACGATGTAGAAAGTTTGATCATACATCATCCCAAGTCCAGCATTTTTCATTAGCAGTGATGCCAGTCTCTCTGTAGTATTCTTCTAAAGGGGGTTCCAAAAGAATCACATCAAATTTGGGTGTTAGTTCTCTGATGTCAAAGGCTTCTATATCTGCTTGTAAGTACCTATTTGATTAAAGCGAAAAAAATAAATAAAAATAAAGATTTGCAAATAATCTGTAGTGGCAATGACAGAAATTCCTTAACGATTACTAACCACTATTTACAAAGTTAACCAATAGCTAATTATGATGTCTTTACAGAGGGGTCTTCTTTCTGCAGCACAAACACTGAACCTCTAATGGGATTATCCCTTAGGACAAGGACAAAATTACACTGCAAAGTCAATTGTGTATTATTCCCCATGAACGTGAAGAATATATTCTTTTTATACTAAAAACTCTAAACTCAGATGAGGGTCTCTGACTGATCACTTTCTACTGTCATCTCATTTTCTAAGATATTGTATTACTTCTCTTCCTCAACTGTTTAGGTTTAAAAACACTGTAAGTTTCAAATCTTCTCTCTAAAAAAGTTTCCCAATATGAAGTTTTAGTAGTTTGCTAACTAGTAAAAACATTTATAATAGTATTTGACACTAATATATACTTTACTGAAGTTATTTTCACATAAAAGTATCTTTAACTACAACATTTTAAATGTAAGAAAATACCCCTCTCTCTTTTCTCCCCTTCCTTCTCCTCAACCACTCCCCTCCCTTTCTTTGTTTTTGAGGGTCTTGCTAAGCTGACCCAGTAGAACTTGAACTTGCGAGCCTCTTGCCTCAGGCTCACCTCAAGTAACCTAAGTGCTGGGATTGCAGACACGTATCACCATGCACAACTTGGAATATTGTTACATAGAATGGATATTCAAGAATACTCAGATTTCCATACATTTGGCATTTATTTGGGATTATTCTAATAACTGATGTATTTTATTAAAGCATTAAAGGTATTAAACATTTAAAATCAGCTAAATGTAAAGCATTCTTCAATTTCAAGTCCCATACACATACTTCTAAGAAAAACATTCTGTTGAACAGATTAAAATGAATCACCAATCCAAATTACTTTTGTAAAAAGGTCACTTAATGCTGTTATCATAATATAATAAACATTAGTAACTTTCTAAGAAAAAATATTTGGAGATACTTCAAGCAAATTATCTAGAAAACTTAAAAAAAAAGAGAAAAAAAAGGAAAATTAAATGAGAAACCACTTATTACCCAGCACCATAATTTCAAACTACTATATTTTACGATAAAGAAGGATGAAGGAATGGATTAATTTAATCTTATATAGCTGTTGATTCTAACAGGCTGATATGTTAAAACTCAATGTGGGAACAAAAAGAATTTTAAAAAAATACTTACATAGGAGGAGTATTGGATTTAGCTATTAACTCATCCTTTAGCCTAATGAGTTCCCTCAGTTTGGGATATTCTTCAAATCTGTCAGCCAAACCTGAGGAGAAAAACAATAGTAAAATGTAAATTTCAATTCAACAAATTGATATTAGTGAGTTGAAAAGATATGAGTCCTTCCTCTCAAAAAATAATAATACAAACATTTTACTTCCACATTTTAAAAAAAAACATGACTACTTCCTTTCTCTCATATTTTCTTCCTATCTTCCACCCATCTGTGAAGGGAATACATTCACAGCAATATGAATTACTTAAAATTCTTAACATAAAAGCTAAAGGTCTTGGTTAGCGGAGTGGTATTTTTCTCTCCCGCCCCTCTCAATACTGGGGATCGAACCTCATGCCTTGCACTGAGCTATATTCCTTGTCCCACAACTTTTAAAAAAACTTTGAGGCAGAATCTCATCCAAATGCCAAGTTGCTCAGGATAGAATCAAACTTGAAATCCTCCTGCTTTAGGCTTCTATAATGCTGTGATTATAGGTATGTGCCACACACGTGGCTCAGTTTGCAAGAATGTGATCATTTTTAAGTCTCCTTCAATCAGTGGTGAAAGTTTCATTTCAAATAAAACAAGTTTGTAACTTAACTGTCAAGTTTCAACACAGTGGAGCTAGCAGCATTTATCTAAAAAAACAGAAGGTACAACCTGAAAAAATCTGAAATCTAAGCTCTCTTATTCCAACATGTACAGGATTGTAATATCCCACTTAAAACATAGAAATCTGCAATCAGCTCTGTTCCTTGTCCCTCTGACATAAAGACCTTGAACAGCAGGGTATCCTTGCTACATCTTCTTTCTCCCAAATTCTTTGCTACACTACCTTCAACAATGTGCAGTGTTTGTTTTTACTACCACCTAAAGTGCATGACTCTTTAATTTGAATTTAAACTTCCATGTGACTAAAATTACATTCATACAACAACTTTTCCCAACTTATATTAGCTTTTTACATACTTTTCTTTATCCTAAGTAAGTATCACAAGAACAGAAAGATTTGATATCCAAATATGGGTATAAAATTTCTCAGAACTTTTTAGAATATATCTAACTTTTGTTTATAAAAACATTAGTTCTACTTCAGGAATAACGTTACAAGTGACAAAAGAAAAAATGAACTAGATTAAAACAAAACAAACTAAGATTTTTTGGGTTATAGAAGATATAAACTAAGATTTTTTGGGAATGAAGCAAAAAACTAAGAATGGGAGAAAATATCTGCAAATCACCCATCTGATAGACTTGTACCAAAAATACATAAAAAATATGAACACTATATATACACACCACAGAAAATATAAAGAATCCTTAATTCAATAATAAAAAAGCAAAGGAAAATTTGTAAAATAAGCAAAAATTTTAGACATTTCTCCAAAAAATATTTATGACAACATGCCTGCAAAAAAATGCCGAATGTGTCATGAGTCATGAAGAAAATGCAAATCAGTGCCACAATAGGCACCCTTGACATCTACTAATGCAGCTGTAATTCAGAAGATGGACAAGAGCAACGTCCAAGATGTGAGGGAAGCAGAATCATCACACACTGCTGGTCAGAATATAAAATGGCACAGCTGCTTTCAAAAATATTTAGTTTCCTAAAATGTTAAACATAAAATTATAACACGGAAAAAACTAAGAGAAGCAATAAAGAAAAGACATTAAAAAACTTAAGAAAATTTTGAAAAAATGGAAAATAAAAATTACTGCATGATCCAACAATTCTATTTCCAGATATATCACAAAAAGATAATAAGAACATCTTCACAAAAAAACTTAAACATGAATGCACATAACTACGGGGGCACAGTGGTGCATGCCCATAATCCTTCAATGGTTGTTGGCAACCAGTACTGTGACGTATTTTAGAACATTTTCTTCTTCCTTAGGAAAGTCCTGTACCCTTTAGCAGTAATCCTGACAAACACACCCCACCCCCTTAATCTTTCTCTATGAATTTGCCTGTTCTGGATATTTCATATATAGAACTCAATGGACAAGAGCATTGAAAATGGATGAACTCCCATTGAGTGTTGAGGGAGTCTGAGGGAGGAAGAGCACAAGTTTAAGCCCTACCTGGGTTACTGAGACAAACCCTGTCTCCATAGAAAGGGAGAGTAGGGCTACTGGGACATGGCTCAGTGAGAAGACCCTGGTTACAATCCCCAGCAGTGCCCCTAATGCATCACAACACTGTTCATAATATACGAAAAGAGCAAACCTAAATGAGTAAGTAAACAAAATATGGTACACACACCCATAGATACAGTGGAATACTATTTGGCAACAACAAAGTTGGATTAACAGATGGTATAACATTAATGACCCTTGAAAATACTATGTTAAGTGAAAGTAGCCAATCACAAAAGACCACCTATTGTACAATTCCAATTATATGAAATACCTAGAACAGGCAAATTCATAGAGAAAGATTAAGGGGGGATAGTCAGGATTACTGCTAAAGGGTACAGCACTTTCCTAAGGAAGAAGAAAATGTTCTAAAATACATCACAGTAATGGTTGCCAACAACCCTGGGATGCACTAAAAAAATACGGAATTATACCCTTTGAAATAGGTGAGATGTACAGCATATAAATTATCTAAAAAAGAAGGAAAGAAAAAAGAACATTGCTCAAAGGAAAATGAAAGTATACTGGCAGTACTGAGAACAAAAAACTGGAAAAAGTATTTTGACAGAAATAATCTAAAAGTAGATGTATCACATGCATGCATCAGTAGTTAGCAACAGAACAGTGAGCAAAAGTCTTACATACCTACATCCCTGATGAAATTCTGAGGTCTATGCCCAGTGTCCACAAAATGTTGGCAGTAATCATTATGGGGATTTAAACTCTGTGTTCCCTAAAGAAAAAGTCAAATTAAATTTAACAACATACACACTGATAGCAGATACACTAACACTAACACGGAATTTCAGTTTTTATTATGGCAACACACAAGATATGCTAGATCTGAGAAAGTAGTAAAATCGCAAAACAAATGACTTCATCACTCTTAAATACTACTCAAATTACATCATTATCTCTTCCAATACAGCCAAATATGAAAAGAATGTTTCATGGATTATCTAAATAATCTTCAGTTTTTAACAATGATCCCTCAATAACTATAAAAATCCTAAAGACAAGTAGGGTACAAAGCATAAATGGAAGAGCTGTTAACATTCGAAAATTATTTTACCTTAAGAAAAGTACTAGAATCTTTGTAAATCTCTTCTTCATAAGGCAAATTTTCTTCTTCCTGTTGCAGTTCTAGTTCATCCTTGAAAAAGGAAGATTAAGGAGACATTTATTATATATAAGCTATTTCCTTAATTATATTTAGACTTACTACAAATATTTTATTTTTTTTTAAATTTTATGTGTTTGGTATAGGGTCTTGTTACATAGCTCAGACTCTAGTGATCCTCCTGTTTCAGCTTCCCCATAGCTGAGATTACAGGCATGCAGCAGCACGCCCCGACTGGGGATGCAGCAGCACGCCAGCTTGGTGTGCTAGGAGTGGGGTCCGCAAGGCATATAGTACTGAGGATCCAACCCAAATCCTTGTGCTTGCTAGGCATGTAGTTAGACTACTGAGCTATCTCTCTGGCCCAAGTATTTTATTTCCCCTAAAGACAATGTTACAAGTTAAGTCTTGTTTCTCATCATTAGATCGAACTTGTTGATATTCAGAAAAAAATTTCTCATCATCATGATTTTGTTCACTTGACTGTCTAGAATCATGTATTTCATATAAAATACTACATGTGTTAAAATACAGCTTGAGTCATGAAAGATATGGCCACTAATAGGGCCATTTATTTCTATTAGAAAACTTTTATTGGGCCGGCCAAACAGCTCAGCAAATTAAAGCGCTTGTTTAGGCAGAACACAGTGGCCGGGGTTTGGGCCCTTCCTGCAGGGCGTGCTGAGACAGCAATTGAGACTAGGCATGGTGGCATGTGCCTGTAATTCCAACTCTTGGGAGGCTGAAAATAGTAAATCACTATGAGTACAATCTACGTAGTGAGACCCTGAACACCCTGTACCAAGTATATAAAAAAAAGAAAGAAAACTTTTATAGGTCAAAAATGTTAAGAATATCAGCAACTGTGTATGGTTAAATCGAAAGTCACAAACATTTAAATTATACATAAGAACTCTGTATCAAATTGTTAACATGTGAGATGGTATTCTGGTATATGAGATTAGGTTATGCATCACAGAACTTGCTACACATTTACTGAAACTTATTCTTTTTCTAATAAATATATACAATTAACTTGAAAAAAAAAACAGGTAGGTTCTGTCCATAATACCTTCATTTTAAATAAACTTTATAACTATGAGCTTAAAATTTGGGGTCTTCTTGGCTGCTTCCAGAAACAATGCTCATGAGTTCTCAAAATGTTTATTTAGTTCACCCTACACTGTTAGGATGGAGTAACAGCACAGAAGAATGCTGCAGTCTCTCAGAATGTGATCCCACAGCTAAGGGTTCTGATACATGTATTGTTTCATTCTTCTTTTACAAAAAAATTATTACCAGTGTTTACCAGGCATTATGCTAAGTATTTCGTAAGTGCTAAAGGTCTTAATTAACTTATACCATATGATACTTACAATTATTTTAACATACTTCATATTCAGCGTTCCACAAATTTGGATGTGAATTTGCCGAAAGGATTTATTTTTTCCTTCACCATAAAACTACCTCATTTTCTGTTTACCTTATATTCTTCCACTTTGTCTTCATCTACTTCTCCTTCATCCAAGTACTTGCGTTTTGTATTTGGAGCAGAGGTATCATAGGAAGCCCTGACAAGTAAAATAGAAGAATTGCACACAAATGTATACAATATATACGGCATCTGGGCATAATACCAAGCAATATAAACACAGATCAAGATAAATTTTTTTCTCATTAAATAGCATCTGTGTACCCAGTTTTATAAAGTATCCCAAAATTTAGAAAATCTGTCAGTCGTGTACTTTATAAGAAGCTGTTAAAAGTGATGTAAAAAGAAACTTTTATATTATGTACTATTTTAATCTGTCTTAAGCAAAACTGATGTCCAAGTTGACAAACTAAAATTCTGAAATGGTTTCTGAACTATCAAATGAATACCACTTTTAGGGTAAATCTAATTCTATAAATTCATTAAATTACAATTTATAATTAAAAACTTATTTCTGGTATATAAGCTAATTCTTAGCATAACGTTTCATCAATTAGGAACTGACTTTAAAAATGATTATTTCTGGGATGGAAATGTAGTTCAGCAGTAGAGCACTTACCTAGCATGGTCCAGAGATTGATAACCAGTCCAGAAAAAAAAACAAAATAAAAAAATCAATGTTTTAAAAATCTCTGCTTTTTATAACAGTACATTCATATAATATAGGCATTTATTAAAACAATTATCCTTTCACAATATTAGCATATTGTTAAAAATTATTTAACTGACCTACAAGTTTCTCTTGTTTCAGCAATTTCTCTCTGTTCCTCTTTGCTATTTAACACAGCTCCAATGCTGTCGGCACTCTCAGCTCCCAACTGAGGAGAGGCAGAAGTTAAAACTTCAATCACAATGCACTGAACAGCCTTTCCATATACTTGCTGCAAAATTTAATCGCTTAAACAGACAAAATAGCGAAGATCCATCTTGGCCAACCTGAAACAGTGCATGCTGGAGGTCTGGGGGATGCATACTGGGGAGTGTAAAGATTTAGAAACAGGGACAAGCAAAGCCAGATAGAAAAAGTCGACCTGAAGGAGCAGCCCACCAGAGCAAGTCCAGTATTCCAGGGAGTCCAAAAGGGAAGCAGCGCAGACTGTGGATGCAGCACTCCTAAGCTTAGGACCATCAAACATACCATCTTGGGAGAGGATCTAACAGTCCAAGGAGGGAGAGACTTGGCTCAGATCCCTGAGATAGGACTCTGGCCTATTTACTTTCTCTCTGTGAGGCGGGGCCCAGAAAGTGAGATATGTACAGAAAAGAGCATCAGAGAAACTAAAAGCCAAGGAATCCTCCAAAGCAAACTGAGCTGCACTGGCAGGCCCTTGAGAAAAAGGGAACGAAGGCAAAGTCCTGATTTATGGACATAGTGCTGGATCTGGGAAAGCCATGCCTCGTGGCAGTGGAAGGCTGGGCAGCAGAGGCAACAGGCAAAAGCCCAGGAAGAAAAGTAGTTCAAGCAGCCCAACACAGGTAGTGTCTATTCTTCCAAACACCAGTAAGATCTAAGCCTGCTAGATAAGCATTCCAACCCAAGCTGCTTGGAGCCCAGCAGGAACCTCCCACCTCTACCCAAAGGCTACAAAGCAATTCGGGCCCCAGGGCATCAGAGGTCCTGGGTTGGAAAGCGGTGCTCTGTAGGGGTGGAGAACAGCTGGCTTAGCCAAAGGACACAATAAGTGGCACTTACACAAAGTCTTATAAAAAGCTATGGAAGAGACTGGGATTATCACAGAGGGAAGCGAGCAGAACTGAGAAAAACCCTAGGACATCAGTGAAAGACTAATAGGCCAAACCATACTGTTTCTTCACCTCACTTTTCCCAAATCAAAGTATTCTGTCCTAAAACAAAGGCCAAAACTTCCAGGTGCCACAACCACAAGAACAAAACTGAAACTAATCACAGCAGTGCCTACGGAGGGAGGGGGTGTGCAGAGATCCAGGCAGAACTCCAAGCTTCTCATGGCAGGCAGGAGAACACATCAGAAGAGTTGGGTCAGTGAGGCACAGGCATGGGCAGTGGTCAAATAAGGGGTACAAGAAAAGGCAAAAGGTGGGCAGTGATGCCCTGCGGAGTGTGGAGGTGGAGGAAGCAGCCAGATCCAGCAGTCTGTCCACATCTCTCCATGATAAAGCACTGCATTTGTGAACGCTGGCAGAAGAGCACAGTGGCTGAATTCAGACTGCAGTATAAACAGGACTGATGGGACAATTTAGTCTTGTGTTTTGTAGCTGTGTACTTCTTTTTTCTAACTTCTTTTTCTCCTTTTCTTCATTCATCATGGTGTCCAAATATGTGAAAAGGAGAATAAGACCAAACCAGTCCTTCAACCTGAACAGTCCTCTCCATGACCAAGTCAGGATAATGCTGCCCAGAACTGTGTATAGAGGATTCAAACTCCTGCATGCTACCAACGTACCAGTAGGTCCTGATTTTCTCACAGCTTGCTATGCAGGTATACGTCACTCTTTGCATCCCTTCTCCTGCCCTCACCAACCTTTTCTTAAACCTCCTCTCCATCATCTCTTTACTCCAGTTACAAAAAAAAAAAAAGAAAAAATTTAATTTGATGTTATCTCTTTCTTTTCCCTCCTTCTTTATTCACTTCATCCTCTGTAACCCAGCCTATCTTTCAGTAATACTATATCATAATTAGGGGTTACAATTAGGTCCCCCAAATAAAAGACCTAAAGAATAGCTAAGCAACTGAAATGAAAAATTTTACGAAAGTATAAATGACCAATAAATATATGCAAATATGTTCTGCATCTTTGGCCACTAGATAAATGTAAATCAAAACACTGATTCCATATTCAAGCTCACTCCAAAAAAGAAGGCTAATATTTTTTTTTCAATTATGCTTTTTACAACATGCTGGAGAGAAAAAAGAATGCTTCCACAGCGTTGGTTGAAATATAAACTAGTACAACCACTATCAAAATCAGTCTGGAGATTCCTCATAAAACTAGAACTAGAAATTCCACTTGCCCCAGTTTAACCTTCCCTCAGCATCTTCCCTAAAGAGCTACATACCCGTGTTTATAGCAGTACAGTTCGTAACAGCTCAATCATGGAAGTGGCTTTTATGCCCAGCAACAGATGAATGCATACAGAAAATGTGTCACATATAAGCAGTAGAGTATTACTCAGCCATAAAGAAAGATAAATTTGAATCATTTGAAGGAAAACTGATGAATTTTCAGACCATTATTCTAAATGCAAATAAGTTACAGAAAATGCAATGTCACATGGTTTTTCTAATACAAAAGACCCAAAATATAAATAATTTCAAGAGTAAAATGAAAGAGCCATGTCAACAAATAGGGAAGTACACTCTGTAGAAGGGGATCTAAAGAGAAGGACAGCACGATGAGTAAAAATAATCCAGATGTGACAGGCACATGTACTAATCCTCCAAGTCAATTGTAATCACTACGTATCACAAACATATAGCAATGAAGAAGTATTTTAAAGAAAAATCAAGATATCTTGAAAAAATATTAAGAATGCCTCTGACAGCAGGAAAATGTTTTATACTGTTATATTTGAAATTAAAACTCTTAATTTCCTACTTTTAAAGAAATTTTAGAACATGGGTTAGCAGTAGTAGTAATAACCCAAAAGAGTAGCCCACATGCTGCATATATACTGTAAATGATCCACCATTCCAACAAAATCTACCCAGTTTTATTCAGGCTAAGTTTCTAAGATTACAGACATAATTGTGAACTTCAATAATGTCTTTAAAAAGTAATGCCAGTTTTGGTTGGCAGCTGGAGACATTTTGAAACAAATGTAAACAAAGGCCAAGGAAAATTAGGACCAATCCATGGAAAACTTTCAAATTTACACAAAAAAACGGGTGCAGAACACCACAAAGAATGGTTGAACATACATTTTAAGCTCAAGAAGCTCATGGTGGAATCTACATTAAATAGTCTTATTAGCACAAGAGTGGGGAAATGTATATTAAACATATATTAAAATGTCAGAATAACAAATTACTAGCAGCCTTAAAAAGAGTAACCTATCTTTTAGTCTATCCATTTCACATGATTGCTCTCAAGTTTCTCCAACAATAAATCTCTTCTGATATATCAACTTTCCTAAAATCTTAACTCCTCCATAAAATCTGCCTAATTCCTTTTCTTTTCAGGCAGCTGACAACAACACATTTACTTCCTTTTGCTGGGATCCTTTTTTCAGAACTAGCATACCATATAGGATAGGAGGCCCCTGTCATTCTTTCTGTCTCCTGATTTCCTTACTCATTTCTAACACTTAATACAACTTTCAATGATTTTACTTTTGTGTATTATTTCCTTTCTGATCATACAGAGTACTGAACTAAATCTCCAATCCTTTGTACTTTGAGACAAATGCTTGCTATGTTGCCCAGGATTGCCTAGAACTTGTTATCCTCCTGCTTCTGCATCCCAAGTGGCTGAGATTACCAGTATGCAACACCATGCATGGCTTACTTTTATTTTCTATTGGTACCACTTCATAGTCTCTACCATGACTTCCAATTATCTGTATAAATCTACTCGTTTACTTATCCCAAATAAAATGTAAACTCCTTGAAGGGACGAATCCTTCCCAGCTTGTTGATACATACACATTCATTAGCCAATATAATGCCTGCCTAAAAGTAGATGTCTAATGTAAATAAAGAAATCAGATTTTCTTGTAGGATTTAAATTAGGATACAATGCATTACAAGAGAATTGCTTTAAATCAAAATCCTGCTGATTATACATAATCACTAGTCAAAACTTTTTATAAATTATAGAATGACTAGATCAAGTCAATAACAGATTTTTCTCTTATGGTGGTACCAAGTACATTATTTGAATAATTTATGCCAGTTAATTATCTTTCCAAGGCACATATGATTTTTAAAACAAAGATACAACTTAAAATAAAAAGCTGGTATGAACTGCCAGTGGTAGTAATAGCTACTAACCATCAAGGTCTGGGCAACAATGTCTTTATGCAGAAGACAAAAGCAAATGACATACTGAATTATGCTCACCTGGGATATGTCATTAATCAACAAATATTTATTAAAAGCTAACTCTGTCCAAGAAGCAATGCTAGGGTAGATTAAACCAACAGTAGTCGAATACAAAGACTGTACAAGCAAACTATTTATATTCTATAGCACAATTAACATATAAAAAGACTTCATGGATGAACCTAAGGCAAGGAGATTGAGTACAGACTTCATCATGAAGTGTGAGGCATGCCACAGAGGATAGACAGAATTCAGAAAGAGGACAAGTTTCTAAAATCATGAAGCATGTATGGTACAAGTCATGTTCTAGAAAGTAAGAAATCAGGTTGCTTTGCCCATATAGACAAAAATGAGCCGAGGTTAAAATAAACTGGTACATGGATGTCTGTTAATTCCATGAGGCATTCATAAGTAAAGTAAACCAGGAAGCACCTAGCTCTACGGAAAAGAGTATGGACACGTCTATATCAAAACTGCAGCTTCAGTCTATATCAAAACTTCAGTTTTGTATCATTGAACATGTAACTTAAATTTTTTGAGCTTCACATTTTTTACCTATAAAAAGCAGAACATACGACTCGTAGGGTCAAAGATAATGGTAAAAGCTTAGCCAAGTTTGACAAAGTAGAAGGCATTAGAGAAATGGACACCCTTATCAATTTTATACACTTTGTAAGCTCTTAGAGGGTAGGGGACTATCATTTAGAGTTCATTTGTCAACACCTGCTAGAGTCTTTGATATTCGCTCAATGTAAGACATTCAGTAAATGTTCTACAGTGTATTCTGAGTGAAACAGCTTTGAATTCAAAATTAAGGAGTAACACATCTTACGTGGTTGCAACAAAGAGTCACTGAACATTTCTGAAGGAATGATGAAATAAATTGAGATGACTTAGAAAGATACTTAATTTATCCAAAATCTTGGTGCCAAAAAGAAAGGAAGCAGATCCGATTTCAAATTCCCACATTTTAGGAAGGATACCACAGATCTACCTATCATAAAAGATAAATTTCAGTCAGATTACCATTACTGAAACTAAGAGTTAATGCTTAACAAAAGCAAAATGGCTCATTAAACCTATGAACATTTTCCCTACCATTTTTATTAATCTGCATACCAAAATAGGAAGGTGCTACCGATTATAAGCAGAACCAGCACAATCTGTATTCTCTACACATGTATTCTACTAATCAGCAAGTGCCAATCAAAAGAAGCAGCGAAGGACAAACGTTTGGAAGACAAACATTGGAGAGGCAAACTTGGGTTTAATTTCCTTGGGACAGGTGAGTGCCAGGATTTTGAAATAACCTCTGAACCCTTTTTCATTATTCAATGAAGACAATGCTGTCTCAAAGATTATGACTAGTACAGAATAAGAACTCAAGTATTACTGCAGACGATGACAAACATACTGTGCATAACACACAGAATCTAAAATCTACATTCAAGCCACTTATGGCGCAGTCTTGGATAGGATCCTCCCCCTGAAATACTGTAGTTATTCTGCAATTTATCTTAAGAACTTGATGATGAATAAAGGGAAAGGAATGGCTCAGAAGTACATTTAAATAGTGAAGGCAAAGTTAGGGGTAACAAATCACTTATCTTTGTGTGAACTGCATTAACGTCTTTACAAAGACCAAGAGACAGTGATGTATTCCCATCACTGTGCGCACCGTGTCAGACACTTGCAGGGAGAACCATAATAAGCACTACATTTTAAAAAAACGCTTCGGAGGACCGCCGGAGTGGAAAACAAGAAGACTCAAACATCCGGGTCGCAGGGCCAGGAAGACCTTGACAGCTGTGGCTGAGGAGCGCACGGGGCGGGGGTGACAGCCGCGCGCGCCACGCGCCATCCCTCCCCAAGAGGCCAAGGGGCCGCGGACCTGCTGAGCAAGGAGCTGCCGCCGTAACTTCTGTCGCTCCCGGATCTCTTGTAAGCGACTATCCATGTTTTAAATCCTGTTTTACACTGCCCGAATCTTGTCAATCGCGAATATACCCTCGGCCAATAGTTCTTCTAACTCTGCGCTAAGCAGTGTTCACCCGGAGCTTCAGGCGGCCAGAATCCCTGATCGTTTACTCAGCAGGCATTTCCGGCCCTTCCGGAATTGGCTCGGCGTAGCCCGGAAGTCCCGCCTCCCGGGCGCACGCGTATGACACCATCGGGCAAAGGCCCAATGAGAAGCGCCGCGGTGCTGGACGGGTTTTGAAGCTGACGTGTGGCGCTGGTCTCGCTTTGTCTGTTTCTTCCGTGTCAGGCTTCCTTAGTTTATACGACTTGTTTCTGTAGCCTTGCTATCTTTTTCCATTAGTTGCATAGTTTATCGGCCCTAGCGTTTAAATAAATTGCGAGCACAAAATCAGACGATTGCCGAGCACTCTTACGAGCTGAGTAACGTGATTTATCAGCACCTCAGTGAGTCGCTTCCCTTTGTAAAAATAGAAACAGTGAGAGGGTCTATCTCGCAGTAGGGAAAATTGGAAGAATAAACACTTGGCACACGCAGCCTTGGAAGTTGTCGTGTGAAGCAGGTTCTGAAAGCAATTTTTAAAAGAGGTATTCGTAAAACTCCCTTTGGTAATGGCAGTACCGTTTGAGAAAGTGTTAACTTTTGAGGGAACTAGACTATTGGGTATTTTTGAACGTATAATTTTTTTTTTTTTTAAAGTCAGTTACATTACTTACCTATCAATTTGGGGCGAAGGGGGACTACCGTATGCTAAAACTATTGGCCAGTGGTGAGAATAGGTGTTTGTTCACTAAAATATTTACTGGTACTGAGTATTTTTTATGGCAGGCACTGTGGTAGACCCGAGTCCATGAAGTCGACAAAAACCAAGTAAGTTTATTTTAATGGAGTTGCTGTCCGAAGAAGAAGTCACACACACACACACAGTGCTGTACAGATGACTTACCTGTAATCATTGTGTAGCAGAAAAACAGTATCCAACCAAATGGAAGACTGAGCAGTTTTTACAAAGAGGATATAACTCTAATAAAAGTCTTCAACCAATGATTTTAAAACAGCAGACTACCTTGGCACACCAGTCAGTTACTGTGCACATCCATCTGTAATGTCTGTTTCTGACAGCAGATTGGTCACTACAAGTTTCACGTGTAATTCATACGATTTGAAAAAAGCATTTTCACTTTTTGGCATTTCTTTTAAGAAATGAGAGATGTATGTAATAATCTGTGCGTTTCTCCCAGAGCTCCTTGAAAGTGACTCCCACGGAGCTGTGTAGCTGCCTGTGGCATATCTTTCTACAATGTTCCTCACAATCTCTGCTATGGTTTGAGTGTTTCTGTATTAAAAAATTTATGTTTAAAGTTAATCCCTAGGGCTGGTGAGATAGCTCAGTGGATTAAGCGCCTGCTTGGGCAAGCAAAGGGATCCTTAGTCCCCCATGCCAAGCCACTTCAAATAAACTGAACATCTACCCTTATCCACTCAGGAAAAATCAATTCTAGCCCCCAGGATTTTGCATTTCAAAGCATAGAGTTGGTATGTTTTCCTAAATAACATCCACCTCACTTTTCTTAGCTTCCCTTATCGGCACTGTGTCTATAGTTTTGTCTCTGCCTGTCCCTCATACATGTTTATGGGTACTCACACACACAAGCACGCGCGCGTGCGTGCGTGTACACTCACATCCGCACACACCATTCTTTTTTGCAAATGCAACCTTTGGGTGACATATAGCCTAATTCATTTCCAAATTGATCCAGCCTAATCAGTATTTTCTAGAGATTTGTAGAAAACTAATGGTATTATTTAAAACTTTGCTCACATTTTTTCATGTTTCCCCAGTACATAGGCTAGTACCGTCCAATAGAACATTTTATGATATACTATCAATGTTGTGCCTTCATTACCAATATGGGAGCTATTAGTCATTTGTGTCTAATGACCACTTGTAACTTGGCTAGTGTATCTGAGGAACTAAGCTTTTGACTTTAATTAAATGTGCTTGTGGGCCAGAGATACAGCTTAGTGGCACAGCTCCTGCCTGGCTAGTCCCAAGGTCCTGAGTTCGATTCCTAGTAACAAAAAAATGTACTCATCACATTTGGCCAGTGGCCGAGGTATGGGTTCAAAGGGATAAAATCTAAGCAACATGACATTTTATCAAATACTCATCTCCCCTATCCAGCCTTATCTTTCTTGAAAAAAAATCTTTTTAAAAAATACATTTTGTAATTAGATTTTTTTTCAAGAAAGCAGATAAGGTTAAATGAACATCAAAATGTGCTAATATCTTCTGCTTTCACCCAGTTCTTTGTTGTGGAGATGTTGGCCACTGTCTTTATGCAACTCTGTCATGCTGAGGGGCCTCCATTAGGGGCAGTCCTGCTGGGCTTTCTTGGAGTTTGAATTGGCCATTCTTTATGAGTAAACCCTCATCCACAGTCATGAACTGCGACACTTTGTAAATAACTGACACTAAATAGATATTTAACAATGGAACTTCGGTTCAGTTTAATTCTGTGATTCCTCTGAGCTTTGTTGGAAAGACTGGTTATGAGAAGTTATGTTGGGGAACATTTGAAGGGAAAATTTTAGCATTTTTCATCAGCCTTGGTAATTATTTATATTCAATAGGTGGAGAAGGGTTTCCAACCTGTGCATTTATTATACGCAACCAGATAACTGCTGATTTCTAGTACACATGTGGCATGACAGAATATTTAGGACCTCTCCAGTAGAAATAGATAGGCTATATAAGAAAGAAGGCTAAAGATTGTTTTTCTTAACACCTCATAAAATTTTTGGCCAAGCATAGTGACACATACCTCTAATCCCAGCATTCAGGAGGCTGAGACAGGAGGATTGTGAATTTAAGGCCATCCTGGGCTACAATGTGAGTTCAAGGTCAGCCTGAATTGCGTAGTAAAACCCTAGCTCAAAAAAGACAGAGAAACAGGGCTGGCCAAATAGCTCAGTAGATTAAAACACCTGTAAGCAGGTACAGGGGCTGGGGATTCAATCCCCCTGCCCTGCTGGCCCCGCCCCTGGGGTGTGCTGAGAGGGCAATTGAGACTGAGCGCGTAATCCCAGCTCTTGGGAGGCTGTAAACAGGCGAATCACTACGGGTCTGATCTAGTAGTAAGACCCTAAACACCCTGTAGACCCTTCCCT